AGGAGGTCACAGGGGAGTCGACCTGATAGTGGACATCCTTGCCCTGGAGGGTCCATCTAAGGTGGCCTTGCCCCTGATAAGAACTATCCAGAACACCACTAAGGTGCTCTAGCAGACCCGGCCTCAATACCACCCATTGCTAAAGGGGTGGAGAGGAAGTACTTTGTGCCGCAGAAAGGGTTTACTGCTGCTACGCACAGGCAGGCCAGCACAAAGACACTGCAGCATTGTTAATATGGACCACACTTCTCTGAGTTCAGAGTAACAGCCATGTTAGTCTGCACTCACGAAAAGAAAAGGAGTACTTGTGGCACCTTAGAGACTAACCAATTTATTTGAGCATAAGCTTTCGTGAGCTACAGCTCACCTCATCGGATGAAGTGAGCTGTAGCTCACGGAAGCTTATGCTCAAATAAATTGGTTAGTCTCTAAGGTGCCACAAGTACTCCTTTTCTTTTTACTTCTCTGAGTGTTCAGCTTTAGAGGGCAGTAAAGGTGTGAGATATATAGTTGGAGATAGGTTTACTATATTTGGATACTTGACTGCTATTCTTATGTTAGTAATTATCATACATTGTTTTTCCACCTTGTTTTAATATTTCAAGATCATTTGCTTTGTCACATTTTTTAAAACAGCTTTTATCTTTAAAGAGATTGAAGAATTAATATCAATATTGAATCTCAAGTATATATATCCTCTAAACAGAATTATTATTCTATCAGGTTAATTAATCTATGAGGGGGTCTCAGTCAGACATTTGAGGACACTGTTAATGTCAGTTATGCATCATAAATGAGTGAAATGTATGAGCAAGTCTTTACTCCTACCAATAAGTCCTTATAAACATCTAGAACTGGAAAGATGGACAATTTGCCTAGTGCAGATTGACCAGATTAAAATCTATTACTATTTTGAACCCATTTTATCAACATTAATTTATATCCCTCTATATTTTGAATGCCACATCTTAAAATAATAGGGAATAGAACAGAGCCTTAAATTAAAGGTATACAAAAATGTCAGCATTCAAGCAGCCTTTGAAACGTAAACACTATATTAGCTTACTGCCCTACTTGGTTTAAAATAGCCCAAATCTTTTGACATTCAGGGAATGCAGCAAGACCTACCTAGTTACCCAGGCTGATGTATAGCTAATATTTGTAAGTTAACTGGGGTATTGTAGATTTAATTTTATTCCATGGTTTAGAGAGAGGAGAAGCTACTGTCTGTAATGTTTATCTGACTGTATTTATGGAAATGAAGTAGGTTCTATGTAGCAGCCACAACGCTGCTCCAAAGAACTGGGGGAAGTATGCCTCTCTCTTTTCCTCTTCCTCAAGCATCTACCCAGACCAGTTACTTAAGGATCTACGTATCCTGAAGGATGACCCAACACTCTCACAAATCTTGGGAGACAGGTCAGTCCTTGCCTACAGACAGCCCCCCAACCTGAAGCAAATACTCACCAGCAACCACATACCACACAACAGAACCACTAACCCAGGAACCTATCCTTGCAACAAAGCCCATTGCCAACTGTGTCCACATATCTATTCAGGGGACACCATCACAGGGCCTAATCACATCAGCCACACTATCAGAGGCTCGTTCACCTGCACATCCACCAATGTGATATATGCCAGCATGTGCCAGCAATGCCCCTCTGCCATGTACATTGGTCAAACTGGACAGTCTCTATGTAAAAGAATAAATGGACACAAATCAGATGTCAAGAATTATAACATTCATAAACCAGTCGGAGAACACTTCAATCTCTCTGGTCATGCAATTACAGACATGAAAGTTGCGATATTACAATAGAAAAACTTCAAAACCAGACTCCAGTGAGAGGCTGTTGAATTGGAATTCACTTGCAAATTGGATACAATTAACTTAGGCTTGAATAGAGACTGGGAGTGGCTAAGTCATTATGCAAGGTAACCTATTTCCCCTTCTTTTTTCCTACCCCCCCCCCCAACGTTCTTGTTAAACCCTGGATTTGTGCTGGAAATGGCTCACCTTGATTATCATACACATTGTAAGGAGAGTGATCACTTTAGATAAGCTATTACCAGCAGGAGAGTGCGATGGGGGGAGAGAAAACCTTTTGTAGTGGTAAACACCCATTTTTTCATGCTTTGTGTGTATAAAAAGATCTTCTGTACTTTCCACAGTATGCATCCGATGAAGTGAGCTGTAGCTCACGAAAGCTCATGCTCAAATAAATTGGTTAGTCTCTAAGGTGCCACAAGTACTCCTTTTCTTTTTACTTAAGCTGTGCACATAGCCTCTATTTAGTGCATCTCATACCCAAAGCATTTTACAAACGTTTATCAAGACAATATTTAGACTAATTTAGTTTCCAATTTTTCTTCAAAGTCCTGGCTGACACTGTTAATTTAATTATAACACACAATATTGGCAGAGCTTTTAAAATGTTTGGCTATCTCCCACCAAGCTCTTGCTCTGACCAGCTTAGAGCTAATAAGTAGCAATTTACGTTGGTTTTCTTTCTATAAACATATTTTTTTAAATACTAGACAACATCACATTATTTAACCTGAATAATGCACAGGGATATCCAGCCCTAGCCTTTCACAACCATAAAACATATATATTAAAATACTAATGAGAGATTACTGACATTTGTCTTCTAATACAACTGCAAATAAAATTTTCATTATTTCACTGCAGCTTACCAGAATTAATATTGCCTGAACTCTTAACGAATTCCATAGTGTAAATTCTCCCTTAGATATTTAGTCATATCAAATAAAACAATACTAAAATTATTTTTTAACTTTTAATATTACATATTAAAATAGGGCACCTGGTTCTTTTTAGCTGAACAAAATATACAGGATATTTGCAGGTATTCAAAACAGAATTCACAAATTTAATTTAAAAAATAGAAGAAAACAGTTTCCACAAGAATGGTCACATTTGGATCCTTAGGAAAATGGGAACAATTCTAGGCACTACTGGGTATAGAGCCTGCTACCACAAGCATTCACACTGACTTACAAATAATAAATAACAATATGCATATTTGCATGACCCTAGCACTTAACAGCCTGTTGTGTTAATTTAGATGAAATAAATGGACCCAAAGAGTCAAAGGTGTTAACATAACTCTGTAACTGCCCCACATCAAAGAGTGTTAACAAGGTTTGGAGTTTGACATAGAGAGACCTCAGATTGCTTAGTACCATGGCAAACACACCATTAAACATCCTTTTAAACCTTTTATTAAAGATACAGAAAAGAAGGAAAAGCAATTAATGCATTTGAAATGTAAAGCATGAAGTTAGGCTGTCATTTTAACATCTGTTCTTTCCTTTATCTAGAAAGGGTCGGGGGGGGGGGGGACCTTAGATGTTATTAAAGATGCCATAACTGTCCTTTGTGGGGATAGAGAAGATATTAGTTCACATGGGCTGGAACTGCTACTGGTGTTCAAGCTGCTAGTTGGTGTTCAAGCTGGTGGAGGCAGAGGTGGATTAAGGTTTACTGGGTCCTAGGCGCAAAGAATATTTGGGCCCCCTACACTCTGGAAATCCGTGAAGATTACTCTCATTGTCCCAAAAATCTAAAAATGTAACAAGAAATTGTACTTTTCCTTGTAGGAAAAGATTTTAGAGTGGAGATGAGAAGTACACTCTATGTAATATATTTGCCAGAAGGGGCACAGTGTTTTACTCAAGTTTCAGTATATTTAATTTCCAATCATATTAAAGCTTTAGCCTTTCTCAAAACACCATAAACACATTTGAAATTTTCTAACTTCAACTGAATGTTTTGAATTCTCACCCCCTCTGAAGTTTTAACTTCAGCGTTCAGTGCCTCATATTTAATTCTAGCTTCCCTCAGAATATACAGAAGTACCAATCTCTTTGCCAGCTACTTTCTGGCAAGTGGCCAGGTGCCACGAGTGCGGGAGTGAGGTTACAGATATTGAGAACCTTCTTTAAGTGCCTCTTCCACCCCATCCAAGCAGAATCTGTTTTCAAAAACACCTCCAATATGTTTGTTTATCCATGACCCTTCTGCTGGCAACTCTATGAAGGTGAAAAGGAAGCAGCACAACAAAGAAAAGTCACAAGTACTGTAGAGCAAGGGACACTTGAAGAACAAAGCTAAGCTACTGCTGCACTTCACACATGGTATTTCAACTTCCAGTCAAGCTGTTCAGTACCTTATTTTTTTAAAGTCCCATCTGAAAGACTCTTATACCGTAAGCTATTATATTTACAAAAATAGCTACCTTAGAAGACGAAAGGCGCATACAACCATGCCAGAATTTGAACCTGTGGTTCCAGGGAATCTGAATTTCAAATCAAATGCCAGACCAGTAAACGTTCACCTCTAATGATGTGAAAAAACAAAAAATGCTAAAGTGCTGCTCTCTTTTAAAAAATAAAAAATAAAATAAAATAAAAAATCAAAACCACTTTTTTCGAGAAAACAGGCTTAACAAATCAGCCAGGTCATAAATGTCTTTACCCACCTATAAATAGATAAAACGGTCACCATGGAGCGGCAAAGAAAAAAAATCACACACAAAAAAATAATTTCCCACTAAATTCCATGGGCCTATGGATGCCAGAAGAGGATAGAGAGAGCCAGACACATGCGGAGAAAAGTGATTTTCAAGCACTCTGTTTACCTGCCTTAAACCTATATTGTTAAAACCCTGGAATGCTGTAAAGAAATTATAAAAATCCTTCAAAAGAACATGCTGGTAGACCACTATTGGTTAGTGGTCTAAACGGTTATCCTCCCTCTAGTGATAATGAGGCACATAGTGTTCTGCAAATGTTTCCTTTGTATTTACTGTGCATATAATAATTTACAAACAAATATAAATCTTCAATTATATATACATATGTATATGTATATAGTGCTGTCCCCATTACCCTCAGTATTAAATTATTGTAGATACTCATGGGTACATCAACCAAAATAATGTTTTATGTATTAAGTAGCATTATATTTCTACCTTGCAAACAGCCTCTGTATCCCAAGGTAAAATGGTCTTCAGATCAATTACTTCGCAGGACACACCTAGCTTTTCCTGAGCCATGGTTGCCACCTCTCGAATAACATGCACCTGAAAAAGCAAGATGATGCAATTGCTGAACTATCTGAAAAATTAAAGGGATACTTAAAAATAGCTATTGCCAACAGGAGAGTGGGTCTGTGGGGGGGCGAGGGGGGGAGAGGAGAAAACCTGGATTTGTGCTGGAAATGGCCCAACTTGATTATTATACACATTGTAAGGAGACTGATCACTTTAGATAAGCTATTACCAGCAGGAGAGTGGGGTGGGGGGAGAGAAAACCTTTTGTAGTGGTAAACGCCCATTTTTTCATGCTTTGTGTGTATAAAAAGATCTTCTATACTTTCCACAGTATGCATCCGATGAAGTGAGCTGTAGCTCACGAAAGCTTATGCTCAAATAAATTGGTTAGTCTCTAAGGTGCCACAAGTACTCCTTTTCTTTTTGCGAATACAGACTAACAGGGCTGTTACTCTGAAACCATTCATTATTTAGTCACGCAGTCCATTTAGCAGTATATTCTTAAGAGCTTCTTAATATACATATGAAACAGCCTACACTTCCTGACATCCTTTTTACAAAGAGTGTTTCATTGATTTGTATGATCACCCAGACAAACAATGGGTCAACTCTATAATGGTAAAACATAACATTGAATGCAAATATTATAAATCAACTTCTAGCTTTTCATCTACAAACCCTTTAATGTGTGTACAGCCTTTCACAAAACAAGCATTATAGTAGCTAGCAAATATTCTGACTCTAGAAGTAACCATCATAGTAGCTGACTGGGAATTCATTTTTCGCGTCCTATAAATTATTACCCACATAAAGTGTTTGTTTGTGGGGTAGAAAAATAGAGAAAACTTGTTTTCAAATTTAAATTTCTACAAATTCAAACCAGAAGGTTCCTAAAAACTCTGATTTGTGCAATGCACTTCCTCTACTAAATAGTCAGCTAGCACATTAAAAGGATAAATGAAAGTCAGATGTTGACTGTCACCTTTCTAGATCAAATTTGATTTTTCCTACATCTTTAAGGACTAAGATGGCATTAAAAATGACCCAGCAAGTTTGGTTATTCTCTTATCAGCTCTACGTATCCTAACAATCATGAAAAAAAACTGCATGCTATGTAACATGAGACCACACACAATCTAGACTGAATGTAGAAACAGCAATCATATTCAAATTAACGTAGATGGAGTGGAGGATGATATTAAAGAAAAATGTTTGACCAGTGAGGAAGATCTAGAGATTAGTTTCAAGATGGACTAACTGGCCAAAACTCCATTGAATCAATGTAGAATACAGAAAAAATGAGTCCATGTGTAGAGCTCCAAATACATGCATAAGAAAATGGACTACATATTTCTATATACTTCTCAAAGAAGTTACTGAGGTTGCTTGAGACCTGGCAGATTTGGCTGTGACTCCTTCCAGCAGGTTTACATTCGCTAATTCATAGCATAGTCTAATGCAGCCTGTAATCCAATTAGAAAGTCTGAGTTGAAATCTGTTGATCTTTCATCCGTTCTGCATAAACTATAAACAATCTAGGCCCTAAATGATCCAGTTTGGTCTAGGTAGCATGGCAGCACTATGTGCATGCAAAGTGTGTAGCTTAGCTTCCCTTTTACCAGAGTATGACTTGGAGAGGAAAACAGTGAGGTGAATCACTAATTTGAGATGGAAAATCAGAAATTATTTTTAGTAGAAATTTGGGCAGAAACTGTCCTATAAGGCAATCCTGCCATAAGGGCCTGAATATCGCCCACCTTTCTAGCAAATATTACTACCACCAAAAACCTTGTTCTGACGAACCGGTGAAAAACAGCACATAGCTACAGGCTGAAAAATTGGTTCCATCAATCCAATTAGTACAATGCTTTGATCCAAAAGTAGTCTGATTAGGGGATAAACCCTGATAACGCTCTTCAGGAATTTAGCTAATGTGGAATAAGCGAAAACTGAGTACCTTTGAATCAGAGGGCGATTAGCTAATATGGCTGTTAAATGGAGAGTGAAGAAGAGATTAATTAGGACTGAGAATGAAAACCAGCTCAGCCAGGCTGATACCAGCATTATCATTTTAGCCAAGATCTATCTGAGTTTTCTGATTACTCTTGGGATTAGAGGAACTGGAGAATAAACTGAGGACCAGTGAATCAGAAGTGCATATGCTACAGAACCTTGGTCTTCACATCCTCTGGAGCAGAACTCGCAACATTTTCTTTTGTTCATTGTTGCAAACAGATCTATGGAGGACTGACCCCAATCAGCAAATATTTCTTGGATGGTGGCATCCTTTACTGGCCATTAGTGATCATTTGCCTCAGCAGGCACTTTTACCATCAGCCAGCACATTTTGTAGACCTGGTCGGCGGAAAGCTGCTAGATTTATGTTTTATACAACAGTTTCATGATGCAGTTCTTGACAAAGAGGAGTGAATCTTGCTTCTTGTCAGTTTCTGAAAAGCAGTGATTTACTGTTATCCATCAAGACCGAAACAGATGATCCTTCGAGCACTGGAAGGAATGCTACGCAAACATGACAAAATTGCTTGCAACTCCAGAATGTTTACGTGCAATTAAGACCAGATGCACTTGATGAGAAAAGAGACCTTCAATCTGTAAGTAGTCCAGGTGAGTCCTCCATCCCAGATTGGGAGGTATCTGTTTCTAGATCTTGGATGGTAACAGTGGAGAGAAGGGCACCCCCTTGCAAAATATCTCAGGATCCTTCCACCAATTTAAAGATGAAAGTGCAGGTTTCTTCTTTGGTTATGTCTGATGTGATGATATACTGACTTCAAAACCATTGCACGCAGTGAAGGTGAAATCTGGCATGCTGAATTACAGAGATGCAGAAAGCCATGTGTGTGTGAGAGAGAGAGACAGAGAAATCATCACTTGCCCTTGTATAGTACCTACCATAGAAGCTGCGACCACATCCATGGATTAAGCATTGCAGCAGGCCTTGGGAAGTAGGTGAACATTATTATCATTAGAGAGGAAGACTGGTCCAGTGGATAGGACACTAGCCAGGGATCCAGGTTCACTTCCCTGCTTGGCCACAGACTTCCTGTCTGACCTTGGGCTATGCGTGTCCTGTCTGACCCGTTTCCTGTCACTAACGGTCTAAAGTAGGACTGCGTAACTGGTCCACCCTCGTATAATCTCTTCTACCTAGTCCTGAGCAGCAATGTTCCATGATGCTCCAAGAGGCCCGAATGCTGGTGTCAAGATACGTTTCCAATCCTCTGGAAAATGATTTAAACTGCGCAGGCTGCTCTCTTCCACGAAGGTCTTTGAAGCCAGTGCTCATGAGCTGCCCTATGCCGACACCTGCACGCAACAGGCACATACTCTAGACGAGATACAATTGATTAGGGACAGATTTGCAGGGTCTGCAGAAACGTACGGGCTGACAATCTGGAAAAGACAGAGGTCGTGTATCAACCAGCTCCCAGGACACCCGAAACGAAACCGAACGTCGCAATCAGCAACACCCAGCGCAATGCTGGTGCAGACTCCTGCTGCCTTTGTGGTATATTGTCAAAGGAACTCACCCTAGACAAGGGGCTGACAAGTCGTATCAACGAAACCAGTTCATCATCCGGCCACCTAGCAGGCAGACCCTGGCAGCGAGGTGGTGTTAAGCTTCAAACCAAGCTAAAAACCTGTAAACTGGTTGTATGGGTGTGAGACCTGGACCTGCTACAGGCATCCTGCTAAGCTTCTGGTTACGTTCCATTTGAGGGATCCGGGTGCCATACCCTGCATCAGATGGCAGGAAAAAGTTACCACTAACGAGGCAGCATTGGGGTGATCTCCCCGCCACCAATTGCACTGATATCTCAGACATAGGTGAGAGGTTTTTCGCAGGAGTGGGTGGGTGAGATTCCGTGGCCTGCGTTGTGCAGGAGGTCGGACTAGATGATCATAATGGTCCCTTCTGACCTTAGTATCTATGAATCTATGTGGCCTAGAAACCTGAGGCAAGTTCTCACTGATGTTTGAGAATGTGCCTTCAGTTGATTGACTAAATCTAATATGTTGCTGAATCTTTCCTAAGGCAGGTAACCCTTGTTGTTGAGTCCAAAACTGCTCCTATGAAGTTTTATTCTTTTAACAGGGACAAGAATCCATTTTTCCTCACTGATTTGGAATCCTAGTAATGCACAGAGCTGGAGAGTCTGCTGATATCCCTCAGCTGAGCCAGTCATCAAGGTACAGATAACTAACTCTTCCCTTTCTCAGTGTAGCCTATACAGATGATGCTGGCTTGTGTTTATACAGAAATGTGTTCAAATGTAAGCAGGCCTGTCAAGGTTCCTTCCCCACTCTGAACTCTAGGGTACAGATGTGGGGACCTGCATGAAAGACCCCCTAAGCTTATTCTTACCAGATTAGGTTAAAAACTTCCCCAAGGTACAAACTTTGCCTTGTCCTTGAACCCTATGCTGCCACCACCAAGCGTGTTAAACAAAGAACAGGAAAAGAGCCCACTTGGAAACATCTTCCCCCAAAATATCCCCCCAAGCCCTACACCCCCTTTCCTGGAGAAGGCTTGATAAAAATCCTCACCAATTTGTACAGGTGAACATAGACCCAAACCTTTGGATCTTAAGAACAATGAAAAAGCAATCAGGTTCTTAAAAGAAGAATTTTAATTAAAGAAAAAGTAAAAGAATCACCTCTGTAAAATCAGGGTGGTAAATACCTTAAAGGGTAATCAGATTAAAAACATAGAGAATCCCTCTAGGCAAAACCTTAAGTTACAAAAAGACACAAAAACAGGAATATACATTCCATTCAGCACAGCGTATTTTACCAGCCATTAAACAAAAGGAAATCTAATGCATTTCTAGCTAGATTACTTCCTAATTTAACAGAGTTTCTGAGACTACATTCCTGATCTGTTCCCGGCAAAAGCATCACACAGACAGACAGACCCTTTGTTCCCCCCCCCCTCCAGCTTTGAAAGTATCTTGTCTCCTCATTGGTCATTTTGGTTAGGTGCCAGCAAGGTTATCTTAGCTTCTTAA